GGGGACGTCGACTAAGTCCTGAGAATTCTCCGACTACTCTGGCCGACATCACCTAAAGTTCAGGGGTGACTCGACAAGACGTCTCCCACTCTCGTGATGTGTTTGTGTGTACTGAGTAAAAGACGACGAAATTTTATACACATAATATGGGTACAAGGTAAATCCCAACGTTACGTGTTGTTTTTTGTTATATAGGTCGTTACACATCACTTAGACGAGACAACCGTAGTGGAGGAGTGAGAGACTCACTCCTCCGACTAATAAACTCCAGTAAATAAGTTGTCGTCCTTCGCCGAGTCCGATGTCAGACTCGCCGAATAGCCAGTCCTTTGTACGTCCACACTTGAAGTGTGCATAGGAGTAGTCGGTACAAGGGTGTGTAGATAACGTCACGTTACGAGGAATTAAAAGGATAAAGTTTACCAATTAGCGGAGATACACAGAAACAGGGAGAGAGACGTAACTTGAACGGAGGGAAAGGAGAGGTATGGACATGACACTTCTTCGTAAGTCTTCTTTTCACACAAAAGCAGTGTACCTGACATGACTCCTCCTGTTTAATACCAAGAAACCCGATTGCCTAATTTCCAATGCTCGTATTAACATCCTATTTTTTCCATTGACATACAAATGAACGATGTATTTTATCCTATTGTTATGTGATGTAAAATTTTATCCCTCTCTTACCAAAGATCCACCTGCAAGACGGAATTAAAAAAATTTACTCATCTATTCTGGGTGTTTCTGTGACAAATTAAAATTAAAGTACAAAATTAGATTATTTTCGTGAAGATCATCAATAAGACATCCGATATTAATTCTATATTATAGTGTAAAGTCTATCGATTTTATAGCAACCAAAGAGAAAAACATTCCAAATGCAAAACCTTTGCTAGTTGAATAGTTTTATCGACACAGATTTATTTGCGTGTTCCCCAAGAACTATACTTCTATTATAATATTTCCGATTTATCTTGACTATTTGCCCTTTGAAATGAGAAGGTGTTTTTTATAAGGGGTGCCCTTCCATAAATGATGACAGATGTAGGTGTGTAAGTGTTTTATTTGTTTCTCATCCAAAATAAGCAATAAGTTAATATAACCCTGTCAAAAGGTCGGGTTGTGTTTGTGTTTGTTTGGAGTTGTTTTTCGGGCGAGCCGCTATTTGACTTTAAGAGAAATCCGATACGGATTAGGTCCGGTGATATCAAGTAACTGGTTTTTTTTGCCTTTACAAACATCCGGATAAATCCGCATATTAGGTGTTTTTTTCCTTTTGTGCTACTAGCCGCACCATGTTTTCTTGTTTTCTCGCTAGAGTGGGAAAACAACCCTCTCTTAGAGAGTGAGGTAGACAACGCGCGGGGCGGCAGAGAGGAATACTTCAGAAATGAAGACAAACAGTAATAATGCTGCAGAGATATTGGTGTATGCAGAGAGCAGGACGGGGCCGTGAGCAGAGTGTTCTGTCATTTTGGAACAAGAGTAAAGTTAATGCACATATGGTTACGCTTTCTGTCCATAGACACATTTTTTCTATTAAAATGCATAAAATACTTTTTTAAAGTTGATTTCTGGAGAGATTATAGTCTTTGATGTACACAACATGCTACCACATTTAAAGATGCAAAATATTTAAACAAACATGCAAGCATTAGTATTCTCCCCCCAGAGTCATCAACCTGTAAAGCCACATTTTGCAGCAGTTACAGCTGCAGGTATCTTTGGGTATGTCTCTATAAGCTTGGCAAATATATCCAATGATATTTTTTGCCAAAACTGCTCCAGCTCCTTCAGGTTGGATGAGTTCCAGGTGAGCAACAGTCATTAAGTCATACCAAAGATTCTCAATTAGATTGAAGTGTGTGCTCTGACCATGCCATTCCAAGAAATTCAGATGTTCAGGGTGTCCACGGGGTCTTAAAAAGTATTAAAAGTTGATAAATCAATTTAGCGAAAATTAAGGCTATTAAAAAGTATTAAAAAGTATTAAACGGCATTTTCCAAGGTATTAAGAAGGTCCACAGCAACGACAACATGAAACACCCTTTAATTTACTGAAACGACATGTCGGGAAACCCCTCAAGGCGGCCCCATGCATAGCGCGCCGTAAAATGCTGCTTCTTATTTTAAGTTTCGTTGCCTTGCTCCGCTCTGTGAGGGGGGGGGGAACTAAACGACTACGGTAACGGGTCCCAAGGTGGGTAGACCGGCATACGCAACGCTCTGGGGGTCCAACGGCTCCGTGTGTAAGCCCTATATGATCATTTCCTGATAACGATTAAATAGCCCGCCTCCCTCTCCCCACGTCTCCTGCTGCTGCTGGGCTGTCAGAAGAGGGGGAGGAAAAGAGAGGCAGGAACCGTTTATTAAATATTATTATACAGAGAACAGAGTCGTTATCAATTTGGTTTAAAGCGCAATAATTAACAAAGAAGACCTCTGATCGGCACTTTTCTAATTTTGTACGGAAGATTTAAACTTTAACGGACATGTTGACCGGCGCAACATTTTTTTAACGGAAACTCTGCCGCACGGTCCCCTCGTTCCTTGGAAGAGGCGGAGAGGTGGGTGTTTTTCATCTGCTGGTGGACTACCTGAGAGATATACAGCAGGAGAACACGCCGTCCATCGCGGAGAATAAACAGAAGGGCAACCATGCTCCGGGGTCTTCTTCGCTGCTTTTGGTGTATTTTGTGGCGGCAGCAGCGCCACTTACAGGCCTGGCATATGTACTACAGCGTTTCCAGCATTTCCAGCGGTCTCGTGTGAACGGACACGTTAATGAATTGAATGCGTGTGAACGGAAGACTTTTTTGCGTTTGCGTATGCGTTTTACCGTATGCGTCCTCGTGGGTCCGGGGTCTAAGCCAAACTATATCCGGTCACAGAGATCTGCTATTTTAAAGTAAAGTCAACACATATTGACCCTAATATAGTCTATAT